CGCCCGGCGGCGGGCGGGATAATGCGGCTGCCCAGCCCGCAGGCACCGCCAGCGGGGCGCCCCCGCCGCCATGTCCCCCCCGGCCTCGGCGGCCGCCGCCAGCGAGGGAGGCAGCAGCACGCCGGTGCCTCCGGAGGAGGAGGCGGAGGGGGCCCGAGAGGAGGTGAGGAGAGCGGCCGCCCCCCGCCCGGGGCTGACCCCAACCACCCTCTCTCCCCGCCCGCTTTGCATGGCGCGTTCATTGACCGCTCCGCCGCGGGCCGGGCCGGGCTTTGCCCGCACAGGTACGGACCCCCTCTCCGGGAGCCCCTCGCCCCGCTCCGGCCCCGGGGCTGCGGTGCGGGCCGGCGGGGGGGGGGCGGTGGGTAGGCCAGGAAACCCACCCGTCGGTCCCCGCCGCCCGTGGACTGCCCTGGCGCTTCGCTTCTCCATCGCTCGCCTGTCACCTGGGGATCGCCGCGGAGCCGCCGGGGCTGGAAGGGACGCAGCAGCCAACGCCGCCCGCAGCGGGGGCCGGAGCCGGAGTGGCCAGGGTGGAGGAGGAAGGGAGAAAATCACAGAAGAGAGGTCTTACTGCCACGGGCAGTGGTTGTTATGCCTGGTAGGAATGGAAGCGGAGACCCCCACCTTGCTGCGCTCTGGCTTCTGGGGGCATCCAGGAGATGGCACAGCTGCCTAGGTCACTGCGAGGGAAGACGCGGTGGATAGCACGGGAGAGGGCTTGGGGATCCAGCGCCAGGGACTGTTGCTGGTCGCTGCTCCCAGCTGGAGGTTGGCTGAGGAGAGTGGAAGGTGCAGACTGGGGCAGGCCAGGTACCACCACAGCTTTGCCTCCACGTGTACTGCAGTCTTCCCTTTTTGGAGAGGCTTTTCTGGAGTCCAGGCAGCAGATGCCAGAAGTGCTCAAGAGCAGGGTGCCCTGTGCCTAGGGAGCAGTACCGGTAGGCAGGTGTGCCAGCCCCTTTGTCTGCCTCCACAGATCCTGCTTGCAGCTTGGGATTCCCAAGAGGAGAGAAAGCAACTGCACCGACTAGTGAGAAGCACCTTATGCCATGGGACTGGTGACCCATGGAAGTCAGCTGGGCAGTGTAGGAAGGACAGCATTCTCCTGGTGTGGTGGGTTGTCCTCTCTGGTGAGACCACAGCTCAAAGGGCAGCTTGTGGGGTGCTCAGGAGCTGGTGCATCACTTGTCCTCTGCTGCTGAGGAGCTGCAGTTAGTGAGTACTGCATAATCCTGGTATTCTCTGTCTCCTTGGCTTAGGCAGAACATGCATGTTCATGCACTGTTATTCTATATATACAGCTTATATTTAGATATAAATAATTGCAGGAGAGGAATGCTGAAGTTCAAGGACTGGGAAGCTGTACAAATACTGTGTACTCTGCTCTGTGTCTGTTCCTCTCTTCCTGCTTCCATTAAACAACTCCTGATGCCCTCAGCCCAGCTCTCCAAACAGATCCTGACCAAGGTAGCTAAACTATGAGGTCCCATTTTAGCATGAGGACATGGTTGTGCCATGCTGTGACATGGTCTCTTACTGCCAGTGCTCTGCCAGTGCTGGTGCTACTTTCAAGACAGCACAGTGGCTTTTCAGATGCTAGTTCAAGAGCCACTTTGGATGAAATAAGTGTAACAGGGGCGGCATCCAGGTAAGTTTCCCTCACCTGTGGTGTCCCCTTGTTCGCAGGGATTACAAGAAGATTGTCTTGGCTTCGATTGCTCTACTGTGGCTGCCAACTAGGGTGTCAGTGTAATCTTACACCATGAGAGTAGGCAGAAGGGGTACAGTCCATGACCTGCACTTTTTAGGCTAAGGGCATCCTTCCTGTGGCCAGAAGCTGTCACAGACTTGCATGAAGCAGCTGGTGCAGGACAAGAAAGCTGCAGTCTCTCCTGATGGTGCCGTGCTTACTGGTGTCTTGTGATGCAATGAATCACTTTAGTGGGAAGGGGAACCTGGATTCGTGGACTGACCTAGGGCAATCCTCTTGTCTTCAGAAATATTGGGAGGGGAGAAGGACAGGCTGTAGTGATGTCCTCATTTCCATCAGAACCAACTGTTGGTGCCAATATCGCTGAGCATCCCAGTAGTGTGGCTGAATCCCACATGTCAGGGTCTGTTGGCCAGGGCAGGTGGGGAGCCAGAGGAGATGTCTGGGGATTGGAAAATGGGAAATGTGCTCTGTCCTCTTTGAAGGTACCTCGTGTTAACCTATCTCAGGTTGCTGTGTCTAGAAGCTAGGCAGGGCTTCAGGTGCTTCTTGGTCCCAGAAAGGCAAGTAGCAAGAACTAGTGACCAGAGCTGACTGAGCCCATGTTTCCTCTTGGCATTACATGCCTACACATACACATAATGGTGGTTAGCTGAATTTCAATCAGCAACGCATACTTGGAGGGTAGGGAATACCAAGGGAAAAGCTCTTCAGCCTGAGAACAAGCAAAAAAATGTCCTTGTCCTGCTGCTCAGGTGGGATCTGATGGAAGGGACCAGTCCTCCTCCTCTCCTGTGTAAAATGGAGAACTTGGTATCGCTGCAGGATCTGACTGCTGGCAGAGTTCCCTGGCTCCTAGATGCTCAGCCTTCCTCTTTCCTCTGCAGCTGGCAATGCTGCCAGCCTCATCTTGAGCCACCTCAGGTAGCTCCTGAATCTGGGCTGTAGGCACAGGGTGTGTGATGTGGGTGTTTGCTTGGACCATCCTGGCCAGGAGTTGCCAATGTCTGTCCAGGGCCTTGGAAGACAGTGGCAATTCCTAGAAATGACTGGATTTTCCCTGCCTCCCTTATTCTGGGGATTTGAAGTCAAAGGGATCTTATTAATTTCTTGCACGACATAAGTGAATGGTAGGGAAGAGCCATGGAAACTGATGCTCAAGAGTCCCACTGGAGTCACCTGCAAGCTGCTGCCACTGGCACTCAGGAGCTACCTGGGCCTTCAGGCTGCTGCTCTGGGGCTTTTTTGATTGTTTTTTTCAGTCCTGTAGAGGGCCGTCTCTAGAACGCCTAACCCTCTGAACCCCAGGGGGTCTTGTAAAGTGACAGTTTAGCTCTGGAGGTGAATCAGAGATTTAAGGCAGGTCTTTGCAGGGAGAGACAGGTAAGAGGATGAGAGGTGATGACATGAAAACACTTTTTAAAGAGGGGGACAGTGGATGGGGCCAGGGCTGAACTGTTACAGAGAGGAGCTTGAAGAACTTGAAGGATTTCTGAAGTTGTTTAGTGTTCAAAGTTGCAGGGTCAAGGTTGCAGGGGTGATTAAGGTTTTTTGGCCCATGTGCTTAGCCACTGGGGTGCTGGGCATGTTTGTCTCCTCAAGGCTTTTTTTAGAAGAGGATCCCTCCCCCCCCACTTTCTATTGCCTCTGCCCTGTACATTGTGGGAATCTCCTTTTGTTTCACGGCTAGTTGTAAGTCATTCCCTCCATCCCTCCCCATGCATCCCAGAGCAGCAACGTCAGCTATGGGACTCCATCTCTGTGTATCTCAGGGACAATGTCAGGGAGACACCTCAGAGACAAATGCCATGTACGAGGCAGGGGAGGCTGTAGCAGCAGCCCACCTCTTGCCTTTTCAAACGTGTGTTACAGTCAGCACCCAGGTGCCTGGTAAGAGTTGCCTTGTCTGTTCTGTGTGGTGAACTGAGACACTGGGATCCTCCAAAGGGGTCAGCCAAGCCTTGGCCGGACCAGTTCTGCCCTATAGCACTGCAGAGATGTTTCTGTGCACCTGCAATAGCAGATTTGCTTATCGTTCTCCAGTGCTTGAGCCTGAGCCATGAGGGAGGCTCCTGGTGATGGAGGGAAACCCTGTTTGCAGTGAAGTAGGGCAAGTATTTTGCCTCATTCCATCAGACTGCGGTGGGCAGATGATGATGGCATTTATATCAGATACTGCTCTCCTCCCAGTGACACTGTTCTGGGACAGATTTCCCTTTCCCTAGCTTTTTCATCTGCTTGTTTGCTATGCTGGACTTATCCAAGGCTGGTTAATAGCTCAAGGAGACAACCTTTTTCAGCTACTTCTGCGGGGGGAAGCCGTGGAGCTGGTTGTTTGCTCCTGTGAGCCCTTTGCAGCCTGGGAGAGGAGCAGGGATGCTGCAGTTCCTACTGGGATTAGACTCTGCAGCTGGCTCCTCCTCCGTCTCTGCTGTGGTTGTATCCCGTCATAGGCACTTGATCAGCTTTCGGAAACCCCACCAGTGCTGCTGAGGTGTATGTGTTTTACCTCAAAAGCCTAAGACAAAACTGGGTTGTAAACAGTTTACAGCAGGGGTTACTGTGACCCTGTAAAAGCTCTGCAGTATCTAAATGCTGCGTAGTCCTAGGAGGAGACTAATGCATGGACTAGAGCCCTGCTAACACAGTTCCTGGAACCAAGCCTGGGCTGCATCGTGCTCCCTGCCCTGGATAGGTAACCGCAGTGGGGCTTGCCTGCATCTCCTCAGGGTGACAGCCAGCATCTCCCTTCTCCTGCGACACAGGCAGTGCAGAATATGAAGGTCTGGGGAGTGACTGGGAGGTGAAATTTGCTTTTCTGAGGCAGACATCTCCAAAGACTTTTTTGTTTACGCCCATTCCCCAGCTTGGCAAATGAGTGAGCTGGATGCTTTGCTTTTTTCCCTGTGCTCTGTTTGCAGATCTGCCTCCTGAACAAGGTGCTGTTTCTCAGCCTTCTTACCCCACAGACACCCTGGGTTTAGTATGTACCTTGCATCTCCCCAAGGCTCCTGTTCAGACCCTCGCCATGCTCCTCCTTTGGCTGAGCAGCTCCCTTAGATCCTCACAATCAGTGCTGCTGCTGCCAGGGAAGATCTGCAACGTGGAAGGCAGCAGTGGGAGAGGAAACCTTCGTCTGCCTGGGTAGTGGTACAGCATTCCAGCATGGGAGAGTCATGCTGCAGCTGAGCAAAGACAGAGGGATCTGAGCAGGTTCTTGTAACTGCAGTGTGGACCTCAGGAGGGAGGGCACAGCTCAGGAGGCTCTGCCTCCTGAATGGCTCCCCCTTCCTCTCCTCACTCCCTTTTCTCTTACCTGGGGTTCCCTTCTTGTCCCATGACCATGAGGCTGCTGCAGTGTTGGGTTGCAATGTGAAGACTTGGCTGCACATGTGTCCATGCTGGCGCTGCCGAGCAGAGCCACCCTGCACCTCTCCGTGTTGCCTGAAGGCTGGCACTGCCCCACCTGCCAGCCCTGGGCTCGGTGTCTGTCTCCAGCTCTTGCTGTCAGCCGGTGACTCCAGAGAGGGGAGCTCAGTCCTGCTGATGCTTGGGACTGCCAGTGGGATGTACCACCATGCCCCTTGCCACCAGTGGTCCCTCTGGATGTGCAGGCTGGCTGCTGGGGTGGGCAGGCAGGGAAGCTCCCTGCTTCTGGGAGAGAAACCTCTGTTGGAGATTTGGGCTGGATCCAGCCCTGCTGAGTGCAGTGGCAGAAGACCCACTGGCATGGGGTGGACCAGGGTTTGACAAGGTGTAGGGAGGAAAGATAAGCCTCTGGGACTCTAGGGGGCCGAGCCAGCACTGAAGGACTCTTCAGGAGAGCACAACACATTTCTTAAAGGAAAGAAGAGGTATAAATCTGTCCCTAGACCTGCCAGTGGTCTTGTGATCTCTGGTTTTTGCTTTAATTTTCCTTTTCATGCCAGAGTGGAAGTGCCCCTCCTGCTTTCTAGCAGTGTGAGCCCATTCAGCTCTTTGAGATCCCTGGGTGAGAAACCTGTCCAGCCCAGTGTGCTCAGAAATGGAGAAGAATGGAGCCAGGCTTGGACTTCAGTGCCATGAGTGGTGTCATTACAGCTGGCATTAGCCCCTGCCATGGCAGAGGTGAGCTCAAGAGCCGTGCTCCGTGCAGGTGGGGAGGGAGAACAAAGCTGGAAGCCTCTTAGTGAGTTTCATGGCATCTGCACAGTGCTAGGGTTCTTGCCTCCCTCTCTCAGGTTGCCCATTTGGAGACTAATGGATGAAGTGTAAGAAAGCAAAGAATCTTTCTTTGGGTGGGATAATGTTAGGTCTCACAGACCAAGGTGGATCAATACTTGAGACTGCAGAGTGTTGCAGAGTGACAGAAGTTTCCTTAACCAGGGTTTTTTTCATGGATCTGTGTGAAACCCTGCACTGTTCCTCTGGTAAAAGCACCAATGCAGTCCCTTTAAAAAGTCCTGTTTCTGAAGTTCTGCCCTTTCCTCACCATGAAAGACCTGAGAGCAGTTTTCTTCTGGAAGTGTGGGCTGTCACAGCTGAATCCCAGTGCAAGCAGGGACATTTGCTAGCAGCCATGAGTGGCCTCTTGCCCTCCCTGCTGCTGCAGATTGGTGGGATGCTCTTCCAGCCTGAACGCTTTTTAGGATGTTATTCCATATTTGCTTTCTCTCCTGCCAGAGGCGGCTGCATTTCAGTTGTGGAAAAGTACTTTCCCGTTGTTGTGATTTATACTTGAAAAGCACTTCAGAGCCCCTTAGGCTGCCAAGTGTTGTGGTGGGAATTGCCATTGCCATTACCAAACAGAGACATTCCCAGCTGCAGAAGGTCTGTTTCTCCACCTTACAGGCACCCTAAGCAGCTTGTGCTGCCCTGGTGGGAGACATTGGAATATTGCTGGTGCTCGTTACTTGGAAGAGGGGAGCAACTGATGTGTGAGCAGTGAGAGGTGCACTGGGATGAGCTGTGGGGAGGGGTTCAGGTGGGACAACCCATCAGTTAGAGCTGCCTGCACTGGTGGGATGGGTGCAGAAGCTGAGGTATGTGGGGGAGATCCACAGTCTCTGTCTTATTCTGCTTCATTGGACCTCCCCAGGATGTGGCAGTGGTAGGGATTACTCTCCCCTGAAAAATGGGAATGCTCAGGGTGCGACTGGCAGAGTTGTCCTCTGTCACTCTTCTTCACATCCAGCTGGGATGTCTCCTAAGGAGGGGCAGAGCACCGTGAAGGGAAGTGGGGGTGACAGTTGCCCGCACTGTGTGATTGTCATCCTGGGAGAGATCCCGGCCTCCGGCCTGCCCGCTGAGGCTGGGAGCCTCAGGCATCTGCTGTTTTGTCTCCACAGAGCTATAGGTGCTACCATAGCACCCTTCTGCCTTCTCCCTTCCCTCTGCTCCTGCAGTCTACTGACTCCTCTCTTGTTTTCTCTCCCCTTCTTCCCGGTCCGCCGGAGCAGCAGCGGCCAGTGAAGCAGTCTCTCAGCAAGTCTCTGTGCCGAGAGTCCCACTGGAAATGCCTGCTGCTGTCCCTCCTCATGTACGGCTGCATGGGAGCCATGACATGGTGTCATGTCACCAAGGTGACCCGGCTGACCTTTGACAGCGCTTACAAAGGCAAGTCCATGATGTACCATGACAGCCCCTGTTCCAACGGCTACGTCTACATCCCCTTGGCTTTCCTGGTGATGCTCTACGTGGTGTACCTGGTGGAGTGCTGGCACTGCTACACCCGCAACGAGCTGCAATACAAAGTAGACGTGGAGAGTGTGCACGAGCGTGTGCAGCGGATGCAGCAGGCGACTCCCTGCATCTGGTGGAAGGCCATCAGCTACCACTATGTCCGCAGGACCCGGCAGGTTACCCGCTACCGCAACGGGGATGCCTACACCACCACCCAAGTGTATCATGAGCGGGTCAACACCCACGTGGCAGAGGCTGAATTTGATTATTCCAATTGTGGAGTTAAGGATATCTCCAAGGACCTCATTGACCTGGAGAGCTACCCTGCCACGCGGCTCCGCTTCACCAAGTGTTTCAGCTTTGCCAATGTGGAGTCAGAGAACTCCTATCTGACCCAGCGGGCCCGCTTCTTCACGGAGAATGAGGGCCTAGATGACTACATGGAGGCCAGGGAGGGGATGCACCTCAAAAATGTGGACTTCAAGGAATACATGGTGGCCTTTTCCGACCCAGACAACCTGCCTTGGTATGTATCTCACTATGTCTTCTGGGTGGCAGCTCTGCTGACCCTGTCCTGGCCCCTGAGGGTGCTAAATGAGTACCGCACCTCCTATGTCCATTACCACGTGGAGAAACTCTTTGGGTTCGACTACGTGGCAGTGACACCGGCCGAGGAGCGCACCTTCTGCCGGAGGATGCCCCGCGTCAACACAGTGGATAGCACTGAGCTGGAGTGGCACATACGATCCAACCAGCAGCTGGTGCCCAGCTATTCAGAAGCGGTCCTGATGGACTTGGTGGGGCTCTCCGGCTGCACCAGCTACTCTGCTTGCCGGTATGGGGGCTACCGGCAGAACTGCGAGCGATGCCACAGGACTATAAGCAGCTCCTCCATCTTCTCCCGCAGTGCTCTGAGCATCTGCAATGGCAGTCCCAGGATTCCCTTCAGCAGCAGCCGCTTTTCTCTGGGCCGCCTGTATGGCTCACGACGCAGCTGCCTCTGGCAGAGCCGGAGTGGGAGCCTGAACGAGCAGAGCTGCCCCACTGAGCAGACACGCCTCTCCAGCCAGGTGACTGTGGAGGAGGAAGACCCCCCTCCTTACCAGGATGCCCTCTACTTCCCCGTTCTCATTGTACACCGCAACGAAGGCTGCCTGAACCACGACCACCGTCACCTCCATCGCAACGGGTCCTGTGTGGAGACCTCACTGTGAAAGCAGAGGGCGGTGAGATCTCATTGTCTGTTGCCTGGCCCAAGCCAGCACAGGATTTGGGGAGAGGAGCACAGGGGGGACAGCCTAAGAGGACATCAGGATGGAGTGGACATGGCATCTTGCTCCATCAGCCAGCGAAAGCTCCCCACAGTGTGGCTCTGACCTCCCAGAGGGGTGGGTGCTGATGCTCCCCTGACATGGCACAGAACTCTAGGACCAACCACCACATGCAAAAAAAGAATAAATAATTCAACCAAACCAACCCCAAAACCGTAATTCATGGCATCAAGATCCAAAGGGGAGAATAAAAAGATAGGCCTGATGCAGGGAGGGGGTGGTTTTTGGCTCCCGGCCCTGGCTCCAGGCTGGCTCATGCTCCAAGGAACCAGCAGCCATCAGAAAGCACCTTGCTGCACCTCTGCCCACTCTGCTTCCCATGCTGGAGCAAGACCCCTTGCAGTGTGGAGGGGAATGGGCCCCTTGGGAGCAGGGTGTAACTGCTTGTAACGGAAGGTCTGGGGCGTCCAGGCACGTGAATGGAGCGGCAGGTTAAAGCAAAGGCTGAAAGCCATGAATCCAGCTCTTCCCCTTCCCCCCAACTGTTCCCCACCCTCCCCACTTTTTTTTTTTTAGACCACGCTCCGACTGTTACTCTGTTCTCACTGCTGGGAATGGCATCACCTCCAGAGGATCCCAGGCTCCTCAGGAAGGTTCGGCATATCAGCTCTGAGTCAGCATCCCTTAGGTAAAGGGTTTTCTGTTTGGGCACGCAGCACCGGGGGAGGGATGAATGTGCAAACCCAGATGGAGCAGAGATCTGCAGCGCTACTGATGTGTTTGCTGGAGGAGGGCTCAGCTGGAAAGAGAAAACGGTAGGCCCCTGGTGAGCTGAGGAAGGGGAAGAGGATGGCACTGGGACAGGCATCATGGTATCAGGTGGCACGTCAAGTAGCTGGGGACCCTTCCTGGCTTTGAATTGAGTCCTAATTGGTTCAGACAAGCATCAAGGAAGGCTCTGGTAGGTTCAGCTGCAGTTCACCTATTGATAATGGAGCAGCAGGTTGGTGCATCGCTGCGTGAGTGAATTTTGCATGAGATCCAGCTGGGCTCTGGCTGTGGACTCTGAGCTGCAGGATCCTGACAGCCTGGTTTTGGGAGAGAGCTCTGAGGGGCTAGGAGAGAGAAATGCAAAAGCATGCAGGAGCATTGAGAACCTGGGCTGGGGAAATGAGGAGCAAAAGGATTCCCTTTCTGTGGGACCTCACTATGGGTGCAGGACCCATGCAGGAGGCATCTTCCATGAGAGATGCTTTCTGGAACAGAGGCAAGGGATGTGTTAGAGGGGAACCTGCTTAAAACTGAGCAGTTTGCACTACAGAGGTTTTTGCAGGGAGGTGTCAGGCTGTGAGAAGTGAGGTGACTTCTGTGTAGCCCATTAGCCCCTGGGTTCTTCTGCCTTGCTCTTGTCAGCGCAGGTTGCTCTGAGCTTTGTGCTGCCCCTTCTATCCTGTCGGAAGGGATCTTGGTGACGTTGGGCAAGGAGCCTTCCTATTACTGAAGCTTCATCAGTGGCTGCAGCATGCAGACGCCCAACTTTTCCTCAGAAAAGCTGTCTCCTTTTCAGTCAGCTCTTTGGGGGAATGCATGCCAAATCAGCCAGCGATTTCTCCAAACAGCACTGCTTTTCAGCCTCACCACACTTCCCTCATCAGCTGGGGCAAACAGCTAAAAGCAGCAGGTCTTGGGTGACAAGGGTAAGTCCTTCAGCACCTGGGCATTTGAGCTTGATGTCTGCCTCCACATCCATTGCAGAAAGGCGAGATGTAACAGCAAACAGTGAGGCATCGTATTTAGTCCAGCCTATCTTCCTCCTGCCAGCTATTAATGAGGGCTCTGTTTCTCTCATCATGCTGCTGTATTACTTCGCCTCCTAGGTCTTGAGGAGGCTGCAAATGCACCCATGCATCACATCAGTCCTCTTGAAAATCATCTCTTGCTGGCAAGCCTGGAACGGTCAGTGCCTGCGGGTGTTGTAGGGCTCTGCTTGTCTTTTTCCCCAGAGCAGTCTGTTCTGCTCTTTGTGTGCCCTGTGTATCCTGGTCAGTGTCTCTTTCCCTTCAAGTCAGCTTGTACTCCTTGATCCCAAGTGCTGGACTCCAGACAGGGGTTTGGAGAACAGTGGTTTGAACAGAAAGTCCCTTAAAATCTCACTCTGTTATGATTCTGTCTTGTCATCTGCCCTTTCTTGCCCTAGACTTAGATGTTGGCTAAAAGAGGGTCCCTGGGAGGCCAGAGAAGCATAAGATCTCTGGTGTGGGCACATCCCTCTCTGCGTTTTGTTCTCATCATTTTTGGCACAGTTTCAGACCGGGTGAAAGCAACCCTGGGATTTCCTTGCTCAGTAATGACATTTGGCTTGCTGTGCATTTGTGCTTCTCTCTCCAAGGGCTTAATGTAAGCCAAGGCCAATGTTGAGTGTCCACGTGACTCTAGGGAGATAATTGTGTGTTCTTGTATGTCCCAGTGAATTGAGACAGTGGAGCTGCAATGGGTCATTAGTGAGGAATGTGGTCACCTTGTCCTTGCTGACATATTCTCTTTGAAATCTCCTACACATTGCTTTAATTAGGCTGTGATGGCTCCTCTTTCTGTCTCCAGCATCCAAGGTGCCTTGGACAGATGGATTTATCTAAGATTTGGCAGGCCTTTTAGCTCCCTGGGGCAAAGACAGTCTTCAGAATAGGGACAGATTAGCAGGGTCTCTGGGCTCCCCATCCTTTAGCACCTGCAGCAGAGTTGCAGGCACCGTATCCTTGGCTCTTTCTGGGGCTTTCCATGAGAATGCCTCACCTTGTTCTTCTGCCCCATTTTCTCCTGTGAAATCTTATTCTGGAGGTGATCTGTCCTGGTGAACGTGGATCTTCGAGGCATGGCTGCTGCTAGGACCAGCAGGATCCATACAGTCTTCCTGTTGCTGAACACCTTCCCCATTGTACCTGGTGCCAGCTGCAGCCAGGTCCCAGGCATAGTCCCAGTGCCACTGTCTGTGGCTGTCCCAGACCCTCAGTACCCTGAGAAGTGGGACCTCTCTAGGTGGTGCTTCCTGCTGGACACCAGGATTTCTTGGAGATCCCCTTCCTCATATTCTTGGCCCTGCTACCCCACTACTCCTGGTGGAACTGCCCCTCTGGTCCAACTACTCCATTCTTGCAAGGGTAGAGATATTTGTGCCCTGCCTCAGGCTCAGGAAGGGGGGATGACACACATGGACATGGTAAGGAGCAGGACTGGGCAGGAGGAACAGGAGCCGCCTGCTGGCTTGGCAGAGAGGTGGTAGAGCCGAAGAGGACAGACTGAAACTGGGGTTCTTCCTGGCATGTCTAGCTAGGCAGGGAAGTTCAGAGCAGAAAACTGGGCTCTCCCTTCCCTCTCCTGGCATTGGACACCACCAGCAAAGTTTGTGTATAAGTTTCCTCCTGAGTGTTGGTAAGGAACTGCAGTGCCCTCAGCAAAAGCAATTCTTATGACACAGGTTACTAGCACAGATACCTAGAGATGGTCTGTCCCTGCTCTGGCAGCACAGCCTCTCCACAGTGGAGTCGTCCTATCTCCCCGGCACACAGACACCCACCTACCACAGCTCCGGGCTGAGTAGCAGTCAGGCATCTGCTCCTCCTGCAGACTTGTGTCTGCTCTCTGCCGTGTCTGTGTTGGTGATGACGATTCCTTTGGCAGCTCATTCGATGGCCCAGTCTGCTCCTCTCGTGATAGCCTTCTCCCTTATATCTAACCTGAATTCTCCCTGCTGTATCTTAATCCCATTACTTCTCCTTCATTGACTGGTGAGTCTAATTGGCTCTGCTCCTTTTCCCCATGGCCCTCCTGACACAAGCAGGCGTTATCTAGTCTCTATAGCCTTCCCTTCACCAATCCTAGGGTCTTGATCTCACTTGCCAAACTCTGGTTTGAGTGGTGGTGCAGAAGCTTTCTCTGTGTAGTGAGTATGTCACTCCTGCTCTGAGCCCAGCCTGGGCAAGAGGAGAGGGCCAAAGGTGCAAGCAATGCCTTGGTCTGTCAGGGAGGCTTTGTCCTCACTTCCAGAGCAGATCTCATCAAAGTGAGTGGAGTACACAGAGCTGCTGGCCCCTTACGCAAGGAAAGCCAGATAGTGCACATCACCCTCTGGGAAGGTGAAAGCTGTGTGCTTGTCAGTATGATGAGGGCAATAACTAAAGGATCTCCACAGTCAGATGGCTTAGGTTTTCTCCATACATTGTTCACCCATTGCAGCTTTCCATGGGCTGAGAGTCAGGCTCAACATTGCACTTATCAGCAAGCTTTCCTCACATACTAGAAGGAGTGAGACAGGAATGCTACCAGCTCCTCTTCCTGGCCCTTCATGGTGCTAATGCATCCCAGAAGAGGGCTAGTCCTTACTGCTGCGAAGCTGGACAATAAGTTTGGGCTATTTGATGTTTGCTGTTGCTGTCAGTATACTTGTCAGATACTTAAGAAGCTCTGAATTAGCTGATCTTCCAGACACATGACCACCCATTTATCTATCTTTCAGCACACTGGAAGCTTCCCAGATAGCGCCTGGCACTTTGCTTGGGCAGAAGTGGTCGGCAACACCAGCCAGCCTGGTGGTACTTCCTGAGCCCACTGCATGTCGTGTCTCTCTCTACACCAAGGAAGGAGGTTTCAGAGAGGGCTGTCAGAGTGAGCAGCTGTAGGGGCATTTGTTAGGATGGGGAGAGGGAATATCAGCTTATGGTGAAGCCCAGGCCTTCCAGAATTACACACCAGGCAAATGTGCAGTATTAGGGCTGGGGGAGTTGCTATACATTCCCCTCCCTTTCTGCTCCCCATAAAATGCACCTTAGAGATCCAGCCAGTCCCTGCCCTCTTTGTTGTCTTTTCACTCAAAAGGCTGGAGAGATGTTTAATAACTGATGGATGCCCGTGGGGAGAGGACTGCAGGAAAAGGTTTATTTAGTGGAAGTTGGAGAGAGTTAGGTAGCATCCAATGTCAGTGGAACAGTGCCTGCTGATTAGCCAGTGGGACAAATAACACCTTTTAAGCTCTTCTTCCAGCCTTTCCAACCACAGCTTAAGTACAACTGTCTAATATCACCAGGATGCTGCCTTACATGAGCAGGGTACAACCTTGCTGCAATGTGCTCCTACTCTGCCACCGTAGCTGTAGGGTCTGAGTCTGAAATTACTATACCACCACCAAGATGTTGTGTTACCAAAGAGCTGTAAGTCTCAAGTTGGGATATGTGCTTCTG